GAATGGGAGCCCTTGGATGAAGTGGCACGTGGCCTTATCTCCTTGGTTTAAACGTCTGTTCTTAGGCATGGGATTTGACTTGCTAGCTTACAGAGCATTTATTGCTTGTGCAGGGTCTCCACGCTAGTGACAAGACTTGACCTTTTATGCTTATGACAGACATTCCATCAATCATTCGAATAAGATCCGTGCAGGCGATCTCTTGGGAGAAGTGACCATGGAGGATGCTTGTGGTTGAGGCTCGCGCATCAACTTCGGGGCTTCGTCCATTTGAGGACCTCAGCTACAACCAAAGGCTTCCAAGCCTCGGGCCATGGGCCTCGGTTAGAAGCAGCTCGGATATAACCCACCTCGGCAATATGGGCCACCTCGGCAGGAATGCCACGTGGATCAGGATGAGTGGGCCACTGGCCCAGGTGGGTAGGACAGGGGTGACAACACGCAACAATAGTCCCCCAAGTCCAAGTATAATCATTAATGTAATGCGTGGACTTTAGAGTAAAAATTTTTTGAACCCCCAAATAATAGTCCACCAAGTTCAAGTATAGATATTTATATCATGATTGGAGTTTAGAGAAGTTTTGGTGTAGGTTTATGCTGAAGAACCGAGGTGTGGTGTGAAACCGAAACTGCGAGGCTTAAATGCTGAATGGCATATGAGGAGCCGAACCGAACCTGCGAGGCTTAAATGCTGAATGGCATATGAGGAGGCCGAGGTCCAATGTAATGATTATGCTTTGGTCTCTGTGCCAATGATTTGATGTTTTGTGCTTGTTTTCGATGAAAGGTAGCTGAACCGTTACGACTTCCAATGAGCTGGCGCCGACGAATTAAAGATGCAATTATGAGGGCAGCCGGCGTTTCGAGAAGCAGACGCGCTGGAGAGGTGCGTAATTATTGTGCTTTGGTCTCTGTGCCAATGATTTGATGTTTTGTGCTTGTTTTCGAGGAAAGGTAGCTGAACCGTCTTGGACCTTTATAAAAGGCGAGAAAATCCCACTTTCCAGAAATTTTGAACACTTTGCATTCTCAAATTCTCTCAAATTTCCCATTTTTCGGCGTCGAGGTTGTCTGCAAATTCTACTTTCCAGAAATTTTAAGCACTTTGCATTCTCAAACTCTCTCAAATCTCCTATTTTCCGGCGTTGAGGTTGTCTGCGATTAGATTCCGACCGGTCTCCGTTTGTGTTGAACTCTTTTAGGTATTGTTTGCATAAAAAATCGTTGTTATTCTTTGTCCTCAAACGATGGAGTCCACTTCGGGTAGGGAACTTGTCACTGTAGCGTCTTTAGACCACGGGGTAGGTCGTGGGGGGACGTCCGAGGTGGATAGGTATGCCATGGCCGAGGAGGACGTGGATTATACCCAGGAGTGGGGGGCTTCTAGAGTGCTCTCAAACATGACGGGGAAGAGGTTGGGGGAGCTTAGGGAGTGGTACAGTGTGCCTCATAACATAGAGATGTTAGTCCCCGAATCTAACGAGTGGGCCTGCTATCCGAGGCCTGGCTGCGTGGCCGTGAGTGAATACCTGTTCAAAGCAGGTATGCGTCTTCCTTTGCACCCCTTCTTTAGGGCGGTGCTTAGGAAATTTATGCTGTCGCCGACCCAGGTTCTGCCGAATGGGTGGAGCCAGCTTGTCGGCTCTTACTTCCTGTGGAAGGAAGTTTCCCTTGGGGAGGACATGCCCCTTCATGTCTTTATGACCCTGTTCCAGCCCCGGGTAATTGGGAAGGAGTTAAGGGGGTGGTACTACCTCACGCCTTGGGGGGCTCACGCACCCTTTGTGGTGGGACTTCCTTCCTCTATCAAGGGGTGGAAGAAGTCCTGGTTCTGGGTGCGAGGTAAATGGCAGGCAGTGGAGGGTGACAAAGCCCTGTCATGCATAGTGCCGACCCAATACTACGAAGCTCGTGAGTCTCCCCATCTCTGCTTGTGTTTTGAAATCAGAGTATTTACTCGTCTAACTGTTGAAGGTTCGTCTTTGCAGATAGTAGTACGAGGTTCGAGCTCAGCAGGGAGGAATTCGAGGTGATAGAGGACATTTACAAGAGACCTCTGAAGCTTCGGCACTTCGATCACCTGATTGATAGAAGCAGATACTTCTTGGACTTCGGGCTTATGGCGTCCAGAGGTATGAGGCTCCAACACTTGTTATACCTTTACGTCCATATTTCAATTGTAAAATTTTAAAAGGTGAAGACCAAACATGAGCGTATTATGCAACACGTGTATATATATATATATATATATATATATATATATATCAATTACCGAAATTTGTTTCACGAATTCATAATTAAATAAAATTATCTTACATCTTATAAATGATTTAACGTTAAATCTTCTTGGACAGGGTCCGTCCGTCCAGTATTTCTCATGATTTAAATTATAAAGAAATATAAATAAGTAGTGTACTTATAGATATCATAAAATTTATGAATAAAAAGTAACTTAATTTATTAGAAACACATACCAAACATGGACTTGCGGAACTGTATTTTTTACCCAACTTTGTAGCAAGCACTTCATGTGCTGAGAAAAACGTAGTCCATGAATTGTTGGAACTTGGAACTAGAGACAACCTTAACTCCACGTCACGTAATCCCACAGCGGGGTCCACATTCACCCTCGCTCCATCACCGCAGGTAACCCTATCAATCACCTCAAACCTACTGCCACAATGATGAAACCAATGTGCCTGCCTTAGAAAATCCAAGCTAAAAATCAAAGTCAATTACTCTCCATTTTCAGTCCAATGATATTCTCCCCCATCTCGCCGATTTCTTGGTGCCTCGACAACTGAGATTATTACAAGAAATATTTGTCCCGTGTCCGTCGACTTACTTTGATGTTAAAGTCAAAGATTACAAAGAGACGATTACATTTTTACTATGACTTCTGAGTCATAATTGCTAATGGCAAATGTACGACTTAGTAAGCTAGCATTTCACGTGAATGAAGGAGCATATGACTTTATGCATATTTGTTGTTAGCTTTAACTTTCAAGAATTTGGTATGTTGTGTATATAAAAGCAATGTCATCGAATTAATCAAGTTGCAGGTCAACTCTTATTAATGTCAAACAAGTGAAATTTCATTCATCGTATCAAACACGTAGATTAGTAGTTAATTTTAGTTTTGGCAATGGATGAAATGAAAGTGTAAAATCTCTGGATAAAATTGACATAAATTAAAGTTAAGTGACCAACATAAAACTAGTCTACAAAATGAGTGACCTTCATTATAATTCTTTAAATTAATATAATCACCTGCCCGGACTGCTCGATCTGCCCGGACTGCCCATCAACCCAAAGTCCCCCAAGTACACCTTTCCCTTTTGCCGTCTGACGAGCGAGCCCTCACGACATTCTCAATCTTTCTCTATAAATCGCGTCTTGTCTCTACAGCCCACTGATTTCTCTCTCTATCTACAAAATCCACTCCCGATTTTTCTGTCTAAATCGAAGGATTTTAAGGTATATCTGCTCTCTCTTTCTTTTCTTTTTTATTCATATATGTTGCGTACGTGGGTGATTTGTCTTGTACGGTTTTCTTTTTAAATCGTTTAATTGGTGTGGGTTGTTTGTTGGATCTGAAATTTTGAAATGGAATTTGTTAGGTTTTGATCGGAAATTTGAAGCCATACAAATGAAATTAAGCATTGACAATTAGGGCTCAGACATAATTCGTGGTTATCCAGGATTTTCGAGGCTTAAATTGGATGAGTCTAGGGTTTTGCAGACTTATAATTGAAGAAATCTGTTTTTTATTTATCAGCG